CGACTTCCGGGGAGTCCCCCTCCTTTCATCGGTTCTCTCTGGGATGTTTTTTTTTTTTCTTCTTCCCCCTTCCTTGTGTATCTTTTTTCTTCTTCCCCCTTCCTTGTGTATCTTTTTTCTTCTTCCCCCTTCCTTGTCTCTTTCTCCTCTGCGGGGTGTTTTTCTCGTCCCTCTTTCCTCTACACTTCTCTTCTTCTCTCCTCTCTTCGGCCATCATGTCGGGCGTCCTTGACCTGGACGCCTCGAAGGCGGTCGTCCCCGTAGCCTTCCTTCGCTGAGGCGAAGGAGGCGGTCGTTGTTACAGCAAGGTACTGTTCATTGGGTCTCGTTGGAGAGGGTCGGGGTGTCGCCGGATGTCGTCATTCGGGCGGCTTCGTCGCTCTCGACCAACCTGCCCAGGTTTCTACAAATAGTATTCCGACTTTAAAGTAGGTACAATGGTTACTAGCAGTAGCAAGCGGTTTGCAGGTGTTCCACCTTGCGCAGTGTCTTCCCTGCCTGGTGTTCCCTGGTGTTGCCTGGGAGTGAGCGATAGCGAGCGACTGAGAGAGAAAGGAAGCATAATAAAGAAGGAAACAGACTGAAGAAGCGAAGCGGCTCCAACCTGCACACAGTGGTCGGACAAGCTCCACACTGAACCCGCGTCAGAGATACCCAATTTGTCGGCTTGTTGTCGACGAGCAGCACGGACGGCCAATTTATTTACCGATTTCAGCCGCAAAGATGTCGATGAAGTTGAAAAGAGTCATGCTGGTAAAACAGAAATGAAGAAATATTGTGAAGATTAATAAAGAGTCCATATTTATTGGGGAGCCAGGAAACACGCTCACTTTTGTTAAACTTTGCAACCTGCTTTGAGAGGAAAACACAGATTGGAAATCGATCGGTGAAGCGACCACTCACCCACCCGACTTTGAGTTTACATAGTTTTTCTCCGAATAAAGGAATAATCAATACTTCTACACACACAGAAAGCCCATTCGAGATATACCCACAGTCGAACGGGATGTGGTGGAGTCTTTTCAGTGAGTGGAGGAAAACCGGCTGGGTACTGGACTTATTTCGAGTCTTTTTAAGTCTATACACTGATGATTCATATCAAGTATCAGTGATGCCAGCTAATACTCGTATGTAAGCGAAATAAATGAAGCTTTGTTAGGGTGCTTCTTATGCTCATGAATCTGGAGTTATTATTATTTTTGAGTCGTGGACCCCCACGACTTCATCACGTCACCCGGGCTTACCCCACGCCATATCTTGCCCGGGTTCCTCATACATCCACCACACACAGACGTAAACCTAGGCAGGCTGTCACACCTCATCTCGCTACCCCTGGTCCCCTTGACGAAAACCCGGGAGGGAGGGCGGGAGGGTTTACCGGCCAATCACCTAGCCGAAGCCCACCCCTGACCTTTTCCTAACACACACGCGATGACCTCTACGGCAGATCGCCCCTTCGTCTAACAGGAGCAGCTGCAAGTGTGCACTCTTCTTATTGCTTCTTGCTGCTGCTGCTGAAGTTGTACTCCAATACGTCATCACCACCGCGCTCATCCAATCTCTCGATGAATCTTCCCCGCAATTTCTTGCCAACAGTACCTTGCCACCGCTGTTGCTGTACGATTCAATCCTGCGCCACAAACCCCAGATTTCCTTCGTTCAATCTTACACGTACGTCTGTTCGTCAGGATAAATGTTCAGGTTCAACCAACACTCATTTCCACTCATTGCCGCTGCCTACATACATACTGAGTTTTTCTCTCGCTTCCGCTCCTGGCCTAGTGGATAGCGCTAGTTCGTGTGTACACAGAGGGAAGAGAGTGCTGAACTCTTCTCGCATTAAAAATCGTAGGCAAAGTACCGCAGGAGGGGAGGGTAGAGAGGAGCTCTTCTGTGTGACCACGGGTTGGAGTAAACGGCATGCTGTGAGCGCTGATTTGAAGTGAAGACAAAAAAAAAAAAATGCTGGTGAATTTATTAGGGTTTGCATTTTCATCAGAGGGAGACTTTGTCGCAAATTAATACACTGCCCTGATTGTCGGGCCCTCTGTACTCCGGTAGGTGTCCCGATATAGGGCCGGTTGAATAGTGCCAAAGTCCGGTATAGTGCCAGTCAATTTTCTTGACACAGACACAGGCCTGCATAGTGCCAAACCGGCACTATTGAGGGCTGCCCGCTACAGTGCCGGTTCAGGTACTATCGAACCCCCAATAGTGCCGGTTCACACCCCACACACAGCCTTTTTTCGCCTCAAGCCTTCCACGCCATCAGGATTCGGAAACGGTTTTCCTTCGAGCTACAAGTATAGCTCGGTTTCTCTCGGTACGCGTGACGTCTTCAAATAAATGTCCCGGTTTATCGATCGACCAGGTTCCACCAATAGGCTGGGGTTTCAGTAGTGGTGAGGCGAGCGAAAAGGAAGATGGTGGTAGTGACGAAGGATATGGAAAATATAGCCAAGGATAGAGGCGATGATGCAGGAGGAAAATATGCCGTTGAGGAGAACAACAAGAGTATCGAGCGAGATACCCTTCCTCACAACAAACCCCGCAGGGGCGCAGAATCTAGAGATGAAAGCCCGATAGTGTAGTAGTGGTACATAAAATAGTTCTACAGGAAGGATGAAAACACTCCGAACCGAACGCTTGTTCAAGTAGTAAGCCTTGGCAGCTACGTAGTTCTCCTCTCTCTGTTGCTACCATTTCTTTTGTCTTTTATCCAGAGAATAGCTCAGCCTCCTCCATGACGCCCTCTCACGGCCTTGAGAAATAAATATTTTCTGTTTTTGACCGCACTTAGACTGACGTCTTTTGGTTGGCCAGTCGTTTTTCTTGCTTCTGAAGGCTTGGTCTTCTCTCTAGCTTTTTATCGTAGGAACAGGGGAGTTCGTTATCTTCTTCACCCCTTTTTTGGGCTGCATCTGCTCTGTGTTCTCTTGTAAGGAGCACTACATCCATCTATGTTTTACCTCCAAATGTATATATATCGGGTGCGTGCATGAGCGTCTTTCTTTCGCTGTTGAGGGGTGGGTGCCGTTTTTGAGGTTGCCTGAATAGTGGTACGGCCTCCTTGCAATACAACACATAATAATTTGATAGCGAGGTGAACTTTTATCGGGCAGCACGGTCTACGGTTAAAAGGCAGCAGCAACGTTTCACTAGCGAGTGCTTGCGCTGAGGTGGGAGGAGAACAACTGCTGTGCAACCAATCTATCTGGTCAATCAAGTTATTTGTAATGTGGCAAATGCCGTGTTTTCGACAGTCCAAGAGCCTCACGAAACTTAATGAAGCCCGCCCACGTCGCCCACCTCACGATTGATCCAAATACCGTTGGTTTGGTACTCTTGTCAGCCCCGCAAAGCGCAAGCGCTGCACTCTGAAGTCGAACAGTCCTGAATAGTGCCAAGCCGGCACTATAGAGGGATTTTCAGGCCCTGAATAGTGCCGGTTAGGCACTATTGAGGCACAATTCTGAATAGTGCCGGTGCCCGGTATATTGCCGGTCATGTCGCCTGGACACATACCGGCACTATATCGGGACAAATACTGTGTGCATACATTTATGCATACAGTATTGGGCCCTCAATAGTGCCGATTGAATGGTGCCGGTGCCCGGTATAGTGGCGGTAAAATCTCTGGACACAGACAGTGCCCTCATTAGTGCCGATTTGGCACCCCTGTGCCCCGCAATAGTAGTAGTGCCGGTCCACCACTACGCACACACACAGACAGCCGGTTAGTTAGTGCGGTCGATGCTAACAATAAAAACACGCGCGCGCGCGTGCGCTTCGTACTTGTCCTGGTTTTTCTGTTTTTCGTTTTTTTGTTGCAATATCGAAGCGGGGGCGCCAGGCAGGCATGAGAGAATTTGTCGCGACGGAGTGAGGGCGGGTAGTTCAGCAGTACATGGCTCGTTGTTTGTTTTTCTTGCAGTGCGCTTTCTGTCTCGTGCTTGTCTTGATTTTCTTGTTTTTTCGTTTATTTCTTGTAGTTTCGAATGACGGCAACGAGGGCTGAGATATAGCTTCGCCCACAATTTTCATATGTTAATTTTAATAGTCTATTCAAGTTGTACGACCCGGAGCTTTACAAGCTTTAGCTTTTGCTCTCAAAGGTTGATCGGGTGCATGATCTGTGTCTCCTTCCCCACCGACTAGCAGTGCTGTTGAGCTTGACCGAAATGGTGTGATCCGTGTGAAGCCAATGCCACTGCTTTCTTGCCCACAGAAAATTCAGCTGTTGGTGCATCCCTCAGGAAAAAGTCAGAGCGGTACATACTCCATACGCATTTTGGTTCGCGCGGCAGCAGTTCAGGATGTGCAGAGAATGAGGGGACTACGCCGCGGTTGCACACACGACCGCGCGCGTATCGCGCAAAAGAACATTTTCGTGTGACATTCGACGGCTCGCATCTACGTTGGTGAAACGTGAATGCCACGTCTCTCTCTGTAGCTCTCGCGAAGGCCAGGGGGCTCAATGCTTCTTGATACTAGCTCTTTGTTAATGAAGAAGGGCGAGGGGAGCGTAGCCCCCCGGAGCAATGGCGTTTTGGATTTTCTTGGAACGAAGTCGGGCCGGAAAGCGTGCCAGTTCCTTCCAAGAAATCAAACTATACTGATTTTGACGCTCTCCGATAATAATGTAGCTGTATAGAGGCAAAGAAGGCTTCGACGGCTGAACCACGAGCGTTCCAACCCAAACCAAGTCAGCTCGAGTCGTCGTGGGGGCGCGGGCGGCCGTAGAAAGCGCGCTACGCCTCCAGACTGGGCATTCCATCATAATTTACCGCTCCTCTTCACAAGCGCCGGATAACTCTTTCCGGAGGACTCCTTGTCCAACTTGTTCCCATATATGTTTTGACGGAAGTCTCCTTGTACAACTGTTCGCTACATATATAGTTGATTGACACGTCTTCCATCATCCTGCTATCCCACGCGGTTAGGGCCGGCCACAGGTGAACTTCCACTCGCTTGACCCTCTACGCCAAGGATGGTGCGTTTCATCGTTAGCGCTTCGGTGGCATTCGCTTTTCTTCTGAGCTTTCCGACGGTGGAGGCTTCCGGGAGAAAACACGAAGAATCCATGGAATTCACCGTCTTCGAGAGGCAGAGCGATGACGGTCCTCGCCACAGCCCACTCTTTTCTCTCCCCGTGCCCGAGGTGGAGGACGTGGAGTATCCCTCCAAAATGGTGCTCTTCAACAATGACCTTTACGGTTCTGAAGATCATCTGATCGACGAGGACCAAGAGGAACTCATCGGGTACAACCAGGTGCGTCGATAATATCTGAAGCTATAAGCGTTGTGTACTGTCAACACGAGAGCGTACGAATTATTTGATGGTGGGCGTCTTTCCTAGAGCTTGACGCGCGAGGATCTCGAACATTTCGCCACATCCTGCCCGAAGTTGAACGGCACCAGGTACCATTCATTCATCTCGAGGCGATAAGGGAGCGCTCACATGGAATACGCGATTGTTCGTTACGGAAACTGCCTCGAACGGCTCGTGTGCAGTGTAAGCTTGCGTGTGGAGCTTGTCGGAGATGGAACTGTCAAAATCAAGACGAAATAGCGTGCATAATCACAGCAAGGGTGGGAGTAAGGTCAACGCTACCACAACACCATGCTTTCCTCTGTTCAAACGCTGACGACACGTCATGCCGCAGGGTCACTGTGTGGAGACCGTGGCCTCCGGCGGTTTCATTGCCGAGTGCTTCTTCACGTACGTATTCGACGACGGCTCGCTCACCGCGAACGGCCCGTTCAACTTCGATGTCGAAGATGGGGTTCTCCCCTCTTTCCTGGCCGTCACTGGGGGCACCGGGGAGTACGATGGCGCCCAGGGATGTGTGAGTACCCAGGGTTACACGCACGCGTTGATCGATCGCTGTTGAGTGTTCACTACAGAACATCTTCTGAGCAATTCATTGGTATACACGTACAGTAGAGGAGGAGCGTCCTTTCTTCGGAATTGGACCAATTAATCCCATCACCCTCTCGAGATGACACCTGTCGATGTCGATGTCGATCTCTTGCGAAGAAATGCTATTGCGCAGTTTGCTCGGATGTTGCCGGCCGACGCGCAAACCGATGCCAGCTTTCAAATCCGGCAATCAGTGTTCACCGAGACACTCGTGCGTAGCACCCCAAGGCCAGTGTTTTCCACCGTCGGCGCAAGTCACGTCGAGAACTTGCGCGTTATTTGACAGTATCTGACGGACGGCACACGTAACTTCCTCGTAGCATAGATTTAAACCAATGACTACATGACTCGAAATATGTCGGGTGCTGTTCTCGAGATACGACTGCGAGAGATGGGGATCGTTATGTAGTGTCTCTGGAAAACTCGAGAACGCGAACATTTTGGAAACAAAATTCGCCAATAGATATCTCTCTGAAGGTTACCGCGGCGGGCTCTTGAACGATATATACAGTAGTTGTACCTGGTGCGTCAATACATCCATGGTTGATTGTTTGTATGTACAATACTACAATTTATTTAGCTTCATGGCGCCAGACAGGATACAAAGAGAGTAGCAGATTGGCAAGCTGACGCGGCACAGGACTGCCGAACCGTTTCGCGAAACCAAATCCTCAAGCGCGACGGGGGACAAAAGAAAAATATTGTTTACATTTCTCCCTTTTTTCAGCTGACGACGTGCACGGAGTGGCAACTTTACTCAGGTTGGTCCAAATTCTTGCTATGTACTGGTATGTATATGTGAGACCATCCATACGTACAGACAACATCATATCAGCTCTCAACTTTTTCAACTCATGTCAATCAATCCTTCTGTAGACCAGTGTAACATCACGGCCTACCTTATTTCCCCTCTTACTGGCAGGTTGAGGTGTCTGCCGGACCTGCTGAAGAATTCCCATCCTTGCAGTTCGACTTCAAGCTCAAGAGAAAGTCAAGGGAGTAGGCGGTCATGGCCTTGGTGCGGACCCATCGATCATCAAGTGCGATGAAGCTATTGTCGGGCAGTTGTCTGACCAGCTTTCATTATGCAAGGAAAAAAATGCGTTGTAGAAGGAGTCCAGCATACCACGCACTTAGAACTTGCCAGGTAGAAGGTCTTTGCCCTTGCGGCAAGCGCATGGGCTCAGCTAAGGGTTTCATGCATACTCGTAGATGTGAGTGACCACAGAGCGGAAAAGGGGAGAATAGAGAGCAAGGGTTGGCTACAACCTAAAACACTTCGGACTTCTGATCGATGGGTTGTCGTAACTGTCGAGGGGGGAGGGATTGGCCCTTGAAGGAGCAGGTGGCAAGGAAGCGGGAAGGGATTAGTAGGTTGGAATGGGGGTGCCTCAGAAATAGCAACACGGTGAGCCTTTCTTTCTCGGTGTGGCCGCCAACAGGCAGTATTGAGCAGCAATGCGGGACAGACGTTTGGGCGCTGAAATATGCGCGCGACAGCATTAAACTAACTACGTCTTCGGGGTAGAAAAGTGGATGTATGGTCGATACGTGGTCGGGAGTGCCGAGGCGAGAGGGGCCCATTCTTGTTTGAGTACGGTTGGATTTCGTTGAGGGTGGAATATTTTCTTGAGCAGCAAGTACGCACGCAGCATTCAATTGCTGTACATTGCTTGAAATAATAATGAGCCACGGTGACGCCGCCGCCGGAAGTATAAGTGGTGTTCTCCTACGTGTAGAAATAAAAACAAAATGTACCTCAATTTAGTGGGTCGCCATATAGGTCGTCAGTGAAACAAGAAAAAATGCCCTGTATAACGTACGATCAACTGCAAGTAGCGGCAGACCTGGTGGACTTGCTTCAGTGCACATCTTGTCCATTTTCGCGCAAGGAGCTGCACAAAACTACTCCACAATTGGGAGCCAATCAGATGGAACCAGTTCCGGCACGGAACACTACCAGCTGCGAGCCCCCGTTGGCGCTTGTCTTTTCGAAAACCAAAATCTCTCAAAATAATGCTAAATAGAGGACAGGAAAACAAAAGAGACAATCCATGCCTAGCACGCGCTCGCCTAGCACGCGCTCGCCTAGCACGCGCTCGTCGCTGACTCCCGCGGCAAGCCGGCTCGCCGAGGCCGAACGGCCGCGCCTGCGACGAGGGCGATCTTCGATCTTTGCCTACGCCAGAAAAGACTACGCCTCTCTCGCGCGATTATTTCCGGCGCGACGGTGGTGCTCGCTGCTCGCTTCGGATACGACGGGAGGTCGGATTACCAATCGTGCGAAAGGATCTTTAGGGGGTTCGGGGGTAGGGTTTCCGGAAGGTTCGGAAAGCATGCCGTGCTTTTTGGGCGCGCGCGCACGCGGTTCTTGACGGTTTGGAGGTGGTACTCGGCTAGCTCAGCTCTGCTAGCTTGCATACTGAAGCCCGAGCTGTGCAGGCTTGCAGAGCCCGCCTGCTCGTATGTTCTGTGGAGTATGTTCCTGCGCGCACAGGGGACTCATGGTGTGTAGGGGAGGAGAAGAATGCTGCTAGAAAAACATGTCAGGACCGCCGAAAGCACAATCAATTAGTCTACAATGTAGACTGTTGTCGGGGGCACCGATTTGTATGTGCGCGCTACCGGGCTGCCGGCCGTTCGGTAGGGCATGTACTGCTGCTGTACGAAGAGCGAGTGGAATATCTAGCTGAGTCTAGGTGCTGTAGGTCTAGGCCTACTTTGCACAGCTTCGAGATGACCGGAACCGCTTTCTGTGCTGTACACGAAAGAAACAACCGATTGCCCCGCAACGCTAGAGGTAGGCGCATCAGCATCCAGATCTGCCGCTGCCATCTGCTTCCAGATTGATAGCTTGCCAACGTCCAACCAGGCACAACACTGCACAACAACCCATACGACGTCTGAAGAAGCATGTTTCCCCCAATCCCCCCCAGCCACCCTATAAGGCGTCGAAGTACTACCCATTTCCGGCTCAGGCTAGACCTATAAACAAGGTATGACACAAGATATCACACACCCTCGACCGATTTTCCAAGCTCCATTCTTTCACAGCAGAAGCGTGGTAGCGCCGGAAACGGCGGCGTTGAAGCCGCTCTGTCAAGAGCCTTCTGAAACAGTCGTTTCATGCACGCATTCTCTTCGTGGAGTAAGTGATGTTTGAAAATCGGTCCAGGGTATGGTATCTAGTGTCACCTACGGTACGGTCCAGGCGGGTAGGCTGCTGCATTTACAGGCAACATCGCAGATGATCTGCTCCCATGTAGGTTGCAAATGGCAGATACTAGATTCAACACCTTCCCATGTCGAACTATCGAGAAAACCCCAAAGTTTTTGCGCAGGGTATATTGAGGAGATATTATACGAGTGTATTATACACCAGGTTTGAGCGAGTCGTCGCCACGTTGTTTAAGCATACTTACTTGTAGACTTACTTCATGTAGGTTGAAGGGGAAGTTGGTTGAAGGGGGAGTTGCAGGAGGGGAGAGAGGAGCCGACATAGTCTCGCCGATAGCCTGCTTGTTAGGCTTTGGTTTAGAAGGGGTGAACGCGGAAAGAAAACAACATAGCTTTAATATATATATACCGTAATAGTCGGAGAGATAGGACCGGTCTGAGAGGTGGCACCGGTCGGGGAGATGGCACGGGGTTGCTAAAAAAAATACGAGAACGGCCCGATTTACATCCATTTACGCACCGGGGTCAGTGAGATCGCACACCGACCGCCAAACCCAAGATTGAGCTCATTTTCAGCTGCCGGAGTGAGGTACATGTGTGTTCCTTATACATGTGGGGATGGTGTCAGCGGAGCGCCACCCCTGCATGTACGTATGCATGGTCGCGGTTCACACGGGATGCCAGTTGATTTCATATTTGAATTGGTATGGAAGTTGCCAACCGTATACTCTCAACCAGACACACAACGTACAAGCCACATCCTACCCCACCTTACACAACACGAAGCTATTGTTGCTTCGTACGTACTGGTATCCGTAGAGAAACACCGAAACGAAAGCGGAAGACAACTGATGCCGTATGTACCAGTACCTCAGATGGAAACGACATCCTTTCTTGTCGTCACTCTATAGCCAAACTCGCATCAAACACGACACCACTCGCTGTATGGAAAGCTGTTACGTACCAGCCTACGTTGCCGTTACCGGTATGCTCCCACTCATACAACACCTGTGTGTATTTCATCGGAGATCGCACCGGTCGGAGAGATCGCACCGGGCTACCTTGAAAATGTAATCAAAAAGATCT